CCAAGGCAAGATAAAAGGAATTTTTATGTCACCCCCAACCACCAGGACCCAGTGACTCCACAGAGACTGAGCCAGACCTGACTTTGAGTGTTTCCTATGGAGACATAGGTCAGCAGTGGCCTGCCACAGGGACAGGGGCTCTGTCTGCAGCAGACCTGGGACATGTAGCATGTGGCATAGGCCCTCTTGGAGGAGGTCACCATTAGCCCCACCATAAAGCTGCCAAACAGACAATGCACAAACTGCAGAACAATTATACCAAAGAAACTCTCACACTGTTAAGAAAGTTCTTAAGGGCCCACAACAGATTTCCCAACCTGGGGATCTGGAAAAGGGACCGAGAAATCCCAGGGAATTTGACCTTGGAGGTCAGTGGGATTGATTACAGAACTTCCACAGGAATGGAGAAACAGGCTATTGGAAGGCACAAGCAAAACTTTTGGAAGGCACAGGAGCCAGGAGAAAGAGGCAGTGTCCCTACAAGAGATTGAGCCAGACTTGCCTGTGGGTGTCCGGAAGTCTCTAGCGAAGACACGGGTTGACAGTGGCCTGCTGTGGGGTCAGGGGCACTGAATACAACAGTAAGTCCCTTTGAAAGAGGTTGCCATTACCCCTACCATAGTTTGGTCTCAGGCTAAACAACAGGGAGGGAACACAGCCCAATCCATCAACAGAAAATTGGATTAAAGGTTTACTGAACATTGGCCCTCCCGTTAGAATAAGACCCAGATTCCCCCACAGTCAGTCTCTCCCATCAGGAAGCTTCCATAAGCCTCTTATCCTTATCCATCAGAGGGCAGACAGAATGAAAACCACAATCACAGAAAACTAACCAAACTGATCACATGGATCACAGCCTTGGCTAACTCAATGAAACTATGAGTCATGCTGTGTAGGATCACGCAAGACGAATAGGTCTGGCAGAGACTTCTGACAAAACGTGATCCACTGGAGAAGGGAATAGCCAGCCACTTAAATATTCTTGCCTTGAGAAGCCCATGAACAGTATGAAAAGGCAAAAATGTATGACACTGGAAGATGAACTCCCCAGGTCGGTAGGTGCCCAATATGCTACTGGAGAGCAGTGGAGAAATAACTCCAGAAAGAATGAACAGACAGAGCCAAAGTGAAAACAATACCCAGTTGTGGATGTGACTGGTAATGAAAGTAAAGTCTGATGCTGTAAAGGAAAATGATACAGAGGACCTGGAATGTTAGGTCCATGAATCAAGGTTAATTGGAAGGGGTCAAACAGGAGATGGCAAGAGTGAACATAGACATTTTAAGAATCAGTGAACTAAAATGGACTGGAATGGGCAAATTTAATTCAGATGACCATTATGTATGCTACTGTGGGCAAGAATCCCTTAGAAGAAATGGAACAGCCCTCATAGTCAGCAAGAGTCTGAAATGCAGTACTTGGATGCAATCTCAGAAATGGCATAATGACCTCTGTTAGTTTCCATTGTAAGCCATTCAATATCACAGTAATCCAACTGTATGCCCCATCCACTAATGCTGAAGAAGCTGAACCTGAACGGTTCTATGATGACCTATAAGAGCTTCTAGAACTAACACCAAAAAAAGATGTCCTTTCCATCATAGGGGCCTGGAATGCAAAAGTAGTAAGTCAAGAGATACCTGGAGTAACAGGCAAGTTAGGCCTTGGAGTACAAAATGATGCAGGATAAAGGTTAACAGAGTTTTGCCAAGAGAACGCATTGGTCACAGCAAACAGCCTCTTCCAAAAACACAAGAGATGATTCACACATGGACATCACCAGATGCTCAATACTGAAATCATATTGATTTGCAACTGAAAATGGAGAAGCTCTATACAGTCAGCAAAAACAAGACCAGGAGCTGACTGTGGCTCAGATCATGGACCCCTTACTGCAAAATTCAGACTTAAATTGAAGAAAGTAGGGATAACCTTTAGATCATTCAAGTATGACTTAAATCAAATCACTTACCATTATACAGTGGAATTAACAAATGAATTCAAGTTGATTAGATCTGATAGACAGAGTACCTGAAGAAATATGGATGGAGGTTTGTGACATTGTACAGAAAGCAACTGTACATACTCAACAAAGTGATCAAGACCATCCCCAAGAAAAAGAAATGCAAAAGGTAAAATGGTTGCCTGAGGAGGCAACTTACAAATAGTTGAGTAAAGAAGAGAAGCTAAAGGCGAAGGTGAAAAGAAAAGATATACCATCTGAATGTAGAGTTCCAAAGAATAGGAAGGAGAGATAAGAAAGCCTCCTAAAGTGATCAATGCAAAGAAATAGAGGAAAATAATGGAATGGAAGACTAGGGATCTCTTCAAGAAAGTTAAAGATACCAAGGGAACATTTCATACAATGATGGGCACAATAAAGGACAGAAACGGTATGGACCTAACAGAAGCAGAAAATACTAAGAGGTGGCAAGAATACACAGAATAACTACACAAAAAAAGATCCTAATGACTCAGATAACCATGATGGTGTGATCACTCACTGATAGCCAGACATCCTGGAACACAAAGTCAGCTGGGCTTTAGGAAGCATCACTACAAACAAAGATAGCGGAGGTGATGGAATTCCAGTTGAGCTCTTTCAAATCCTAAAAGATGATGCTATAAAGTGCTATACTCAATATGCCAGCAAATTTGGAAAACTCAGCAGTGGCCACAGAGACTGGAAAAGGTCAGTTTTCATTCCAATTCCAAAGAAGGGCAATGCCAAAGAATGTTCAAACTACCACACAATTGCACTCATCTCACATGCTAGCAAAGTAATGCTCAAAATTCTCCAAGCGAGGCTTCAACAGTATATGAACTGAGAAATTCCAGATGTTCAAGTTGGATTTAGAAAAGGCAGAGGAATCAGAGATGGTATTGTCAACATCCATTGAATATAAACATCCATTAAATCTTAAAAAGCAAGAGAGCTCCAGAAAAAAATCTACTTCTGCTTTATTGACTAAGCCAAAGCCTTTGACTGTGTGGATCACAACAAACTGTGGAAAATTCTTAAAGAGATGGGAATACCAGACCACCTGACCTGCCTCCTGAGAAATCTGTATGCAGGTCAAGAAGCAACAGTTAGAACTGGACATGGAAAAACAGACTGGTTCCAAATTGGGAAAGGAGTATGTCAAGGCTGTATATTGTCATGCTGCTTATTTAACTTATGTAAGTCCATTTTGCAGAGTCCATCATGAGAAATGTTGGACTGGATGAAGCACAAGCTGGAATCAAGATTGCCAGAAGAAATATCAATAATCTCAGATATGCAGATGTCACCACCTTTATGGCAGAAAGCAAAAAGGAACTAAAAAACCTCCTGATGAAAGTGAAAGAGGAGAGTGAAAAAGCTGACTTAAAACTCAACATTCAAAAAACTAAGATCATGGCATCTGGTCCCTTCACTTCATGGCAAATAGATGGGGAAATAAAGGAAACAGTGACAGAATTTATTTTCTTGGGCTCCAAAAGCACTGCAGATGGTGACTGCAACCATGAAATTAAAAGATGCTAGCGCCTTGGAAGTAAAGCTATGACCAACCTAGACAGCATATTAAAAAGTGGATACATTACTTTGTGAACAAAGATTCATCTAGTCAAAGCTATGGTTTTTCCAGTAGTCATGGATGGATGTGAGAGTTGTACCATAAAGAAAGCTGAGCACCGAATAATTGATGCTTTGGAACTGTGGTGTTGGAGAAGACTCTTGAGAGTCCTTTGGACTGCAAGGAGATCAAATGAGTCAATCCTAAAGGAAATCAGTTCTGAATATTCATTGGAAGAACTGATGCTGAAGCTGAAGCTCCAATACTCTGGCCACCTGATATGGAGAACTGACGTCACTGACAGCACTGGAAAACACCCTGATGCTGGGAAAGATTTAAGGCAGGAGAAGGGGACAACAAAGGATGAGATAGTTGGGTGGCATCACCAACTCGATGGACATGAGTTTGAGCAAGCTGTGGTGATGGGCAGGGAGGCCTAGGGTGCTGCTGTCCATGGGGTCACAAAGAGTCGGACACAACTGAGAAACTGAACGGACAACCTACCTTCTCAACTCGATTATACACCTGTCACTAACAATATCCATCCTCAGTGAAGTTTCCCTGGTGCTTTTTCCAGATTAGTTAAATCTTTCAGTTGCATTGCCAGGAATTCAACACAAACTGGCTTAAGCAAAGTAGGGAATTTGTTGGATCATTCTATTACTTATCCACTGCTAGGTAACCAATTATGAAATTTGGCAGCTTAAAACAGTAAACATTTATTTATTTATTTATTTATTTATTTATTTATTTATTTATTTATTTTAGACATTTATTATCTTGCCGTTTCTATGGATCAAGAATCTAGACACAGCTTAGCTGGGCACCTCTGGCTCACAGTCCCTCACTAAGCTACAGTCAAGGTGTCAGCCAGGACTACAGTCATTTCAAGGCCCTCCCAGGGGAGGATTCACTTCCAATTTCACCTCCAAGGCTCTTGGAAGGCCTCAAGATCTCATCAACTATCGACATTAATTCCTTGCTGGCTAGAGGCCATCCTTACAACATAATACCTATCTCCTAACATGAGGTCAGGGAAGGATGGGACTGTGAAGGGAGGGTAGAGAGAGTCAGCCCAAAATGGAAGGCACATCCCATCCCTTCTGCCACATTCTACTCACTAGAAGCAAGTCACTAAATCCATCTCATACTCAAGAAGAGTTGATTACACCAGGGCATGTACTAGTTGTCTCTACCAAGAGGTAGAGATCTGTAAGGGGCATCTTCAGAGCCAAGTTTAGAACGTAAGTCTCCTGAGACTGAAGCTAGTTATGCCCGTTATAGGTTTGCAAGTACTGTGAAGGTTAATAATAGACTTGGGAGCTCTACCCCAGCCTGAGCATATACAAATCTGTGGTGCTCGGTATAAACAGCCCTCGCTGGAACACAAACACACACAGAGCTGAGGAAGTTGTGGTAAGTGCTTCCCCCTTCAGCCTGTAATCTGAAAGTAGATCATCATGGCGAGCCCAAGGAGACACACAGATGACTGGGTTCTGCAACCTTTCTGCAATAAGCCACCGAAGAGTCAACCACACATACTCTCTCCCTGTCTATGGACCCTTCTCCTCTTCTTGCTCATGGGTAAGTCCACATTGTGGCCACTGGTATTCCCGTGAGGCTGGTCACATTTTTGCTTGGGACTCTAGTTATGTAAGGGCTTCCCAGGTGGCACAGTGGTAAAGAATCTGCCTGCCAATGCAGGAGCCACAGGAGCTGTGGGTTCCATCCCAGGGCTGGAAGATCTCCTAGAGGAGGAAATGGCATCCCACTCCAGTATTCTTGCCTGAAAAACTCCGTGGACAGAGAAACCTGGTGGACTACAGTTCCTGGGGTCACAAAGATTCGGACATGACTGAGCAACTGAGCATGGCACACAGCACTAGTTGTTAAAAGCAGGAAACAGTCTCCTTTTGGTAATTTTTCTGCAGGTTCCACCTTACTGTGAGCTGTGTGTGTGTGTGTGTATGTGTGTGTGTGTGTGTGTATGTGTGTGTGTGTGTGTATGTGTGTGTGTGAGTATACATAGTTACACCCCATGAGTAGGTGAATTTCTAGCCCCAGACTCAAATAACCCCAGGTTTAGACTCTATTCCTCTTGCCGTTACATTTTCAGAATAAGAAATGCTGCACGATGAGTTTGTTCCCTATGCAATGTGGGTAAGACCTACAGAGGGATACGAGAAACTTGTCCTGATAACAAAACACCTACCAGTTTCCCAGGGAAGGATAGGACTGCTGCTGCTGCTGCTGCTAAGTTTCTTCAGTCGTGTCCAACTCTGTGTGACCCCATAGATGGCAGCCCACTAGGCTCCTCTGTCCCTGGAATTCTCCGGGCAAGAATACTGGAGTGGGTTGCCAATGCATGAAAGTGAAAAGTGAAAGTGAAGTTGCTCAGTCGTGCCTGACTCTTAAGGATCCCACGGACTGCAGCCTACCAGGCTCCTCTACCCATGGGATTCTCCACGCAAGAGTACTAGAGTGGGTTGCTGTTGCCTTCTCCAGATAGTACTGCTGGAGCTTCTTTTTATATTCTGCCTTGTTTATCACATGCTTGGAAGCTTCACTGGGGATCTGGAGATGGTCTGGTGGCCCTCAGCTAGTTGGTTTCTATCTGAATATCTTTTCTCCCCAACATTTTACCTCCCCATGAAGGCCCAATTTCTGCTAGTTTCTGGGAACTTTTCTCAGGAGCATGGCCTGAGCCATCTCTCTCCAATGGGCAGAGCTGACACCAGTACCCCAGAAGGGTCTCAACCACTGATACAGTGGCAGTTACTGTCCCTCTGGAATTCTGCTTCCTCATCAGGGATTTGAGAGGATAATGCAGGAGCACTAGGGACCTCACAGTAGTAAGGATGAAGTTAGTGGCTGAGCAGTGAGCAGAACTCTAGAAAACTCTCGGATGCATGTATAGGGGTAGAGGGACCCCAGACCTCAGGCTGGATTTCAGTCTAACCTCTCTTCACTTTCTATTTCATCTTTGTTTACCATAAGAACACAGGTAGCAGCAAGGCTATTTATATTCACACTTAACTCTTGGGGTGCTTCCTTGTTGTGTTGGATAAACCTGGAATTAGCCACATTCAATGGCACCCAGATGGTCAAAAAAGTGAATTTCAAACAGTTCAGTGCAAAGAGATATCTCCCTCTGTGATAACACCAGTCAGGGTGACCTCAAACCTTACTGTTTTGGTCTAGAAGGCAGTTTTCTTGATGCTTCCATGTTTCCAAGGAGTGCTTTCAGGAACTTAGGAGGCAGTAGGTTGAACAAGTCCAACCCCCTGCCCCCAGCTTTAATATCAGGAATATTTGAAATTAAGTTCTTGTTCCATCATTTATCAGGTGTGTGAGTCTCTACTTCTTAAGTGTAGAATACAAACAATAAGATGTACTATGCAAGACTGTTTTATAGATTAAGGATGTATGTGTAAATGCTTGGCATACAGTTGGTGGAAGCTATGTTTGTTATTACAATAATCATTGATATAAGTACATTATTCAGAAAATATTAAAGAATGGGCAAGTCAAATTCAGTTATCACAATCTTTAAACCCTCCATTTAATAATTTGTCAAACGATGTAGTTCAAGATAAGATGGATGATACCTGCAACTCCTGTATGGGATCTATGTAGCACTGCTTACTGCAATAGGATCTGACCTGTAGGAACCACATCGTGCTCCTCCCACTGACATGTGTGAGTTTTGTTTACCATTGTTGTGAGGAGAGACAAGGTCAAGACACATTCATATGCCCCCAGCCAAGACCTACCACCTTCTGGGCTCCCAGGATGGGGTCATCAGTGCTCTCAGCCTTTATACCCCAGGGTATCATCTACCCAGAATCTGGGTTCTGCCACTGATCAACCCTGTAATCTCAGGCAAGTGGCTTAAACTCTCTAAATTTCAGTTCCTTATCAGAAAAAAAAAGGACTACTTATGAGATTAATTTTGAGAATTCAAATGAATGATTTCTACAAAGTGCCTAATACACACATAGCAATCATAAGCAGGGTCTTCTGGATGACAAGAGCTCTCTTTTAGGCAACCTCAAACCACCATTACATCAGCTGAACTTCTGTCTTCTGAATCTGCCCCAGAGTCTACCTGAACAGACCCTCCCACGTCCTGGATGTCTAGTCCTGTATCCTCTCTGGCAGCCTCTCTGGAAGGTCCAAATGCTCAGCTGATGGGGGTCTGGGCAGAGACCACTGCCCTGGCCTGCACCAGTCTCCACCCTGCATCCGTGTTTCCTGTGACCTTTAGGCTTTAAGAACACACTTCAAACTTTTCCCATTCCTCCCAGCTATTCTTTGGCCTCTCCTCTCTCTCCAACATTCTCTACATATTTTCCCACCCAAATTCTAGTGGGAATAATCTGAGTCCTGAACCCATCTGATTTAGTCTAGGGTTTACAGAGTGCTCTTGAGAGTCTTAGAAGCCTGGAATTTGGGAATCCAGGCTGGAGTCACTCAGCAGAACTCACAAGGTGTCTCCAAGGAAATAAGCTGCTGTAGCCAAATGTCAGGCCTCTGGAAGCCTTGGAAACAACAGTTATCAGCGATCTGAGTCTTTCCTGAGATGAGCAAATCAGGTGCTTAATCAATGCTACCCAACCCCAAGCCTTTATCCTAAGGATAGACCAGATTTTCCTGGCCAAGTCAAAGTTAAGCTGAGATTCCCTGGACACTGAGGAAAAGGTAAGGTGATAATAGAGGTGAAAGATGCTTTTTTTTGTTCCCAATATTTTATTATGAAAATTCTCAAATATACAGAAAACTTGCAAGAATTTTTCAGTGAACACTCAGATACCTCCCATCTCAGTTCTCCCATTGGGGTTTTACTTTTCTTGCTATATCACACACCTATTCATCTATCCACTGATTTAGTCATCCATCAATACATCTTGTTTTTTTAAAGGTACTGCTTTTTTTACTTCACTAGTCCTTTATGATTTATAGCAACCTGATTTTATTTCATCTCTAACACATTTCTGGAAGAAGATGGTACAGGTGGGATATTTCTAGCTTATAGATGAGTAAACTGATTCTCAGGGAAATTCAGAAATTCATCCAAAGTCACCATTCTCATTTCCTTGTGGAATAGAAGGCTATAAAGTCTTCTGTATTGATTATTGTAGCTACATTCATGAGAGAGAACATCATAAGAGAGAATAACTTTGCTAAGCAATGGACCTAGAGGGAGGACAGCCAAAATATCATCTCATTTCTCAACATCTAGCATTTATTATCAACATGTGTTTTTAGAATGAATGAATGCCTGCATGCATGCATGCATGAATAAACAAATGAATGAATGCTGGCTAGAGGATCCCAGCTGCTTCTCCAAGTCCCTCTTTTGTCTCTGCAGGGCAAGGAGCCTCTGAAAAGGACTCAGCCTCAACAGTGGTGAAAGGCATTCTAGGGGGTTCAGTGATTCTCTCCCTGAATATTTCAGTGGATGCAGAAGTTGAGCGCATCACCTGGAGTGGTCCCAAAGACACTATTGCTTTAGCATTCCCAAGTGGAGAGATTTTGTTTTTAGACAAAAGCTACCAAGGGCGAATAGACATCCCAGAAAACAACTCTTTGTCTATTAACAAGCTGACTCTGAAAGATGCTGGTTCATACAAAGCCCGGATAAACCAAAAGGGATCTGAAGACATCAATGAGAGATTCATCTTATATATCTATGGTGAGTTCCGGAGAGCACATGTGAGCTTTGACCTTTTATTTTTAAAAGTAGTCTTTTTTCCTCTGCAGGAATTTATCTAAGATGACGAGAGCAATGATGTTGGCCATTTTCACCCAATTTCATAAGTACAGATATCAAGAGTGAAAAACAACTAAAATATGGTTAAGAGCCATTTGGATTCTCTCTCTGTTAATATTGTTTATCCATCTGTATTAGCTTGTTAGAGTTGCCATAACAAAATATCACAGACTGGGTCATTTAAACAACTAAAATTCATTTTCTCACAAGTCTGGAGGCTTGAAGTCCAAGATCAAGGTGTCGGCAAGCTTGATTTCTTCTGAGCCTCACTCCTTGGCTTGCAGATGGCCGGCATTTTGATGTGTCCTCACATGGTGCTCCCTCTGTCTGCATTGTCTGTGTTAGTCTCCTCTTTTTAGAAGAACGCCAGTCATACTGGATTAAGGCCCACATCACAACTCCACTTTAACTTAATTATCTCTTTAAAGGCTCTGTCTCCAAATACAGCCACATTCTGACGTACTAGGGATTATGACTTCAACATAGGAATTTCTATTCAACCCACTGGATAAGAATAAAAATAGCACTGTGGTCTCTGGTTCCCCCAAACTCTTGTCTTTGTCACAAAATACATTCACCTCATCTCAACAGCCCACAAAGTCTTAACTCATCCCATCATCAAATTCAAAATCTTTTCTAGATCTCATCTAAATCATATGTAAGTGAGATTTGAGGCAAAATTCCTCTCCAGTTATGGACCTGTGGAACCAGACAAGTTACCTGCTTTCATGTTGGCACAGGGACATGATAGACATTTACATTCCAAAAGGGAGAAATTGGAAAGAAGAAAGGGGTCACAAGTCCCAAGCAAGTCTAACCCTATTAAGGCAAATTCCATTAGATTTTTTAAAAATTTTTATTGGGATATAGTTTATTTACAATGTAGTGTTAGTTTCAGATGTACAACATAGTAAATCTGTTATACATGTATGTATATCCACTCTTTCTTAGATTCTTTTCCCATATAGGCCATTATAGAATATTGAGTAGTGTCCCTGTTCCATACACAGGAACTATACAGTAGGTCCCTATTAGTCAATCTATTTTATATGTAGTACTGTGTATATGTCAATACCAATCTCCCAATTTATCCCTCACCCTCTCTGGTAACCAGAAGTTTATTTTTTACATCTGTAACTCTATTTCTGTTTTACAGATAGGTTCATTTTTAAGATTCCATGTATAAGCAATATCATATGATGTCTTTCTCTGTTTGACTTACTTCACTCAGTATGACAATCTCTAGGCCCATCCATGTTGCTATAAATGGAATTCTTTTTCTTTTTTTTTATGACTGAGTACCACATCTTTTTAAGGTTCAAGAACCACCCCCACCAACACTCCATGGGCATACATCCTTTAGGCCCATGATGCCAGTGGCAGACCCGTTAACCTCTGAACTTCCCATGGGGCCATTCTTCCCTTTTCCTGAAGGATAAGGGATGATCTCAGTGGGATATCTCTACTGGCTCATTCTTGAAAATCTCCAAAATCTGATATCCTTCCTTCATTTAGTGCCATCTGTGTCTGTTTAATCCAAGCTGGCAGAATTTCTACTTAGATAGTTGATTGGATCCATGAATCACACCATTGTCTATCCATACTCTCAGTGTTTTCTCCAGACACAAATTCTCATTATTTATTTATTTATTTATTACAATATAGATAGGCTGAGACTTTTCCAAATCTTCAAATTCTGGTTTCTTGTGGCTTAACAATTCCTTCCTCAGTTTATCTTTCCTTTCTGACATTTTACTACAAGCAAAAGGAGAAAACAGTGTTCCTGGGTAGCTCAGTTGATAAAAAATCCACCTGCAATGCAGGAGACCTGGGTTCAATCCCTGGGTCGGGGAGATCCCCTGGAGGAGGGCATGGCAACCCACTCCAGTATTCTTGCCTGAAGAATTCCACAAACAGAGGAGCCTGGCAGCCTATGGTCCATGGGGTCGCAAAGAATCAGACTCAACTGAGCGACTAAGCACAGCACAAAAGGAGAAAACAAATAGTGCCCTCAGTGCTTTGCTTGGAGATCTCCTTAACTGAACAATAAGTTCATCACTTAAACGTTCAAAAGCAGAACACAATTTGTCTAAGTTCTTTGCTGCTTTATAATAAGTATCACTTTTCCTCCAATAACATGTTCTTCATTTTCAACTAATACCTTACCAGGAACACCGTTAATGTTTATATTTCTACCAATGTTATGTTGATGATAATATATGTCTATCTCTGAGATAATAGAGGCTTTCTCTACAGCTGTCTTCTTTCCTTTTAAGCTCTTACCAGAATCCCCTTTAACATCCCTGTTTTTATGAACGGTCTCTTGAAGACAATCTAGGCTTTTTCTCACATGCATCTTAAAACTCTTCCAGCTTCTATCCATTAACCAGTCCCAAAGTCACTCAACATTTTTGGGAATTTGTCACAGTAGCATCCCAGTTGTGGTGCAAAAGTCTATATTGGTTTGCTATGGCTGTCATAACAAAACAGCACAGACTGAATTACTTAAACAAGAAAGATTTATTTTTTTCACAACTCAGAAGCCTGGTTAAGATGTCAGCAGGTTTGGTTTCTTCTGAGGCCTCTTTCTTTGGCTTGCATAAGGCCACCTTTTTTCCCTGTGTCCACAGATGGTTGTCTCTATGTTGTCTTTATCTAAGTCTCCTCTTCTTTTTTTGTTTTTTTTTTAAATTTTAATTTATTTATTTATTTTAATTAGAGGCTAATTTCTTTACAACATTGTAGTGGTTTTTGCCAAACATCGACATGAATCAGCCACAGGCACATATGTGTTCCCCATCCAGAACCCCCCTCCCAGCTCCCTCCCAATCCCATCCCCCAGGGTCGTCCCAGTGCACCAGCCCTGAACGCCCTGTCTCATGCATCGAACCTGGACTGGTGGTCCACTTCACATATGATAATATACACGTTTTAAAGCTACCCTCTCAAATCATCCCACCCTCGCCTTCTCCCAAAGAGTCCAAAAGACTGTTCTTTACATCTGTGTCTCTTGTGCTGTCTCGCATATAGGGTCATCATTACCATCTTTCTAAATTCCATATATATGCGTTAGTATACTGTATTGGTGTTTTTCTTTCTGACTTACTTCACTCTACATAGGCTTCAGTTTCATCCACCTTATTAGAACTGATTCAAATGCATTCTTTTTAATAGCTGAGTAATATTCCATTATGTATATGTACAACAGCTTTCTTATCCATTCATCTGCCGATGGACATCTAGGTTGCTTCCATGTCCTGGCTATTGTAAACAGTGCTGTGATGAACATTGAGGTACATGGGTCTCTTTCAATTCTGGTTTCCTCAGTGTGTATGTCCAGCAGTGGGATTGCTGGGTCATATGGCAGTTCTATTTCCAGTTTTTAAAGGAATCTCCACACTGTTCTCCATAGTGACTGTACTAGTTCGCATTCCCACCAAAGGTGTAAGAGGGTTCCCTTTTCTCCATGCCCTCTCCAGCACTTATTGCTTGTAGACTTTTGGATAGCAGCCATTCTGACTGGTGTGTAATGGTACCTCACTGTGGTTTTGATTTGCATTTCACTGATAATGAGTGATGTTGGGCATCCTTTCATGCGTTTGTTAGTCATCTGTATGTCTTTTTTTGGGGAAATGTCTGTTTAGTTCTTTGGCCCATTTTTTGATTGGGTCATTTATTTTTCTGGAATTGAGCTGCAGGATCTGCTTGTATATTTTTTAGATTAATCATTTGTCTGTTTCTTTGTTTGCTATTATGTTCTCCCATTCTGAAGGCTATCTTTAAACCTTGCTTATCATTTCTTTTGTTGTGCAAAAGCATTTAAGTTTAATTAAGTCTCATTTGTTTATTTTTGCTTTTATTTCCATTATTCTTGGAGGTGGGTCATAGAGGATCCTGCTGTGATTTATGTCAGAGAGTGTTTTGCCTATGTTCTCCTCTAGGAGTTTGATAGTTTCTGGTCTTACATTTAGATCTTTAATCCATTTTGAGTTTATTTTTGTGTATGGTGTTAGAAAGTGTTCTAGTTTCATTCTTTTACAAGTGGTTGACCAGTTTTCCCAGCACCACTTGTTAAAGAGGTTGTCTTTTTTCCATTGTATATCCTTGCCTCCTTTGTCGAAGATAAGGTGACCATAGGTTCGTGGATTTATCTCTGGGCTTTCTATTCTGTTCCATTGATCTATATTTCTGTCTTTGTGCCAGTACCATACTGTCTTGATGACTGTGGCTTTGTAGTAGAGTCTGAAGTCAGGCAGGTTGATTCCTCCAGTTCCATTCTTCTTTCTCAAGATTACTTTGGCTATTCGAGGTTTTTTGTATTTCCATACAAATTGTGAAATTATTTGTTCTAGTTCTGTGAAAAATACCGTTGGTAGTTTGATAGGGATTGCATTGAATCTATAGATTGCTTTGGGTAGTATAGCCATTTTGACAATATTGATTCTTCCAATCCATGAACACGGTATATTTCTCCATCTGTTTGTGTCCTCTTTGATTTCTTTCATCAGTGTTTTATAGTTTTCTATGTATAGGTCTTTTGTTTCTTTAGGTAGATATACTCCTAAGTATTTTATTCTTTTTGTTGCAATGGTGAATGGTATTGTTTCCTTAATTTCTCTTTCTGTTTTCTCATTGTTAGTGTATAGGAATGCAAGGGATTTCTGTGTGTTTATTTTATATCCTGCAACTTTTTTTTTAAAGGACACCAGTCATGTTGGACTAGGGGCCGTCCTAATGACCTGATTTTAAATTAATTACCTTTGTTTCCAAATACAGTGCTATATTCAATCACACTCTGAGGTACTGGGGGTTAAGACTTCAACATATGCATTTGGGGCAGGAGGAGGGGGTGGGACACAAAATTAAGCCTAAGCCTATGACTTAATTTTTCTATCATATTGTTTGACATTTTTGACTGATTTGTAGTGAGCTCTGTGTATATTAAGGAAATGGAATTCTATGCAGTTAAGAGAAACAGAAAGAACCAACTTAATATATACTAATATACAACCATTTCCAAAATATACTATTAAAATTTTTAAAAGCTTCAGGATTATATGTATAATATGCTATCATACATGTGTCTATAACTAGAATATCTCTGAAAAGGTCAACAAGAAATTCATAACACTAATTCCCTCCAGGAACAATAATTCCTTAGGAGAAAAATTAGGTGGCTAGGGGCAAGAGAGCTTGTTTCTTTGTGTGTGTGTGTGTGTGTGTGTGTGTGTATACCTTTTGTATCTTTGCAATTTCAATTTTATATATTGCCTACTCCATAAAAAAGAAAATGAACTTACACACACACACACACACACACACACACACACACATGCACACACACACTGTGAACAGAGGAAATGGAACAAAAGGGAAGGAGAGGACCAGGAAGAAAGTCTGAAAGCAAAATGGGTTCCAAATTTAGACCAAAAGGCAAGGGCAACTCAAATCATAGAGGCAGAGCTTCCAACTCCCTAGAGTCTGAGGCTAGCTCAATTCATTCATTTATTAACATTTACGAAAGATTCATGAGTGCCTTTCACGGGTCAGTCAGGTGCTGGATGTATAGGTATGGATACTGGCTCTGTCTTTAAGAAATTCACAGACTGGTGGGGGAGAGAGAGTATTGAGACTGTTGTCATGTTGAATCACAATGATAACACCTGTAGAGGGTACTAAATAAGCACAGAGGAAAGGCAGTCAACCTTTGTGGGAAACTAAGTGAAAAAGAAAGAAAAACTTCCCACAGGAACAGACAATGCTGGCCTCTCCCTTCTGCCCTCTGCTCCTCTACTATCCCCATCTTTTTCCCTTAGCCCTTTCCTGCTGGGGAAGCAGTCAGAGTAGTCTTTTCATTGCCATTGTCTTTGCAGAACAGCTGCAGGAGCCCCAAGTCACCATACAGTCTGTGAACATGTCTGAGAATGCCTCCTGTATCATCACTCTGGTATGCTCTGCGGAGGGAGCAGGGGGAGATGTTCAGTACAAATGGACTTCGAGAGATCCTCGTGCTTCTGAATCCTGGGGGGACCCTACTCTCATCGTCTCCTGGTTGCCCTGTGACGCAGACCTACCATACACCTGCACAGCCAAGAACCCGGTCAGCCAGAGCAGCTCCTACCCTGTCCATGTCTCGCAGTTCTGCACAGGTAACTGGCTTCAATAAGGCCCAGAAATAGTCTAAGCAGCTATAGAGTCTAAACCCCAGGATTCTGGCAGGACACAGATGAAATAGTGAGGTAAGAGAACAGACTTGCAGATTCCTTTTTCTCTACCCTCAAGAGGATAAGAGAGACTGACAGGGGACTTAGGCACTCCCAGGGCACTGTGAAACCCTAAGAGTCTGCAGAGAAAAGGAAAGAATGTATGGATGCAGAAATCTAGATTGCTCTTTGCTGGGGTAGGGGGTGTCTCCTCAGATGTCCTCAAAACAGCAGAGAGGCAGGAGAAGCCTGGGTATGCACTAGGCAGGGCCAGGTGCTTATTTGTGCATGACAAATGGCCATGGGAAAGCAGCAGGGATGCCTCATCAGAAAGGGGGAGAAGGGATCCTGGGCAGGAGGGTCTCAGGGACTTCAGTCCCTTCAGGCAGGCTGAGGGTCAAGGGGTCAGGACCAGTGACTGAAATTGCAATATCTCACCTCTGACCACAGATCTAGGAGCCTCCCGAGGAGGATCAATGGGGGAGACGGTGCTAGGGGTCCTGGGGGAGTCCATCACCCTGTCCCTGGCACTCCTGGACAGTCAGCACGTAGACAATGTTGTCTGGATGTTTAACACGTCTATTATCAGCAAAGAGTGGAGAGGAGAAGGAATAGCCAATCAACTCACTGAGTTCAAGAATCCGGATCAGAGCACAGTGTGGGTCTCAAGCCAAGACTACTCTCTAAAGATTATCCAGCTGAAGATGGAGCACGCTGGCCTCTACCATGCCTACATGTGCTCAAATGCCAGAATTGCCAGCGTGAAACACATCAATCTGCACATCTACCGTGAGTTTCTGAGTTGAGCACCCATCATCAGATTCCTTTCCTGAAAGATTTCTCTCTTTGCTGCCTATCCCACCTCCCTCCTCCTACAAAATGCCTTAGACCACTAAGACAACTACTCAGTTCACACCAGTCAGTTGACAGGAGGACAATACAACCAGCAGATGGGCAAAATCTCCCTGCTCAGGGCCCCCTTCTAGGCTTTCAGTTAAGCCTCAGCCAAGCAAATTTCGGTACCTGCCCTGTCCTCCTGCATTGATTTATGGGTGGGACCAGGAACTCTACAACATATACGTTTATAGAACATTGCAATTTTGTATAAAGGCAAAGCTGGCTGGGGTAAAATCACAGAAGACTGGAGAAAGTCTTTAATATCCTGTGAGCTCCAGGAGCTTGGAAGGGTACTCAGCTTCCCTAAGTGTGAAGGACAGAACTCACAGTCTCCCTCCTCCACCTTGGGCTTCACTGGAGCTTGGCTGGACAGTTTGTATAATTTATATTTGCCAGCTCCTTCACCTGTACCATTCAGACATGGTCAACCTATTTCCTGCCTAGGTGTGTTGGTGTCTCAGTACTTGGGAAAGTAGTCACAATCCATGATCCTGTTAAAATATGTAAGTCAGCTAGTTCACAGCTATTGTTGCCTACTGTTACTCAAATATCAAAGAACCAGGAAGAAAATCAAGTAAAAGGAATAAGAAACTGGGAACAAAGTGTGCCAGCCATATGTTGCTTTTAAAATTGCTAGTATTTATTAAGTACTTACTCTGTGACAGTGCTCTGCTCTCCTTTCTATACGCCTTATCTCATGTAAGCAAACAAATTAGATGATGGGACCTTGGAATGTAAGCCTTGGAGGGTCTCAGGGCAGGTAGAAGCATTGTGCTTATCTGCGCTGATTGGTTTGCTTGTTCTTCACAGTATACCATATAGAATGATGCCTTTTATAGTATGTCTTTCACCTTTCATTAACTCTTCTATACATGGGCTTCCCTGGTGGCTCAGAGGTTAAAGTGCCTGCCTACAATGTGAGAGACCTGGGTTCAATCTCTGGGTCAGGAAGATTCCCTGGAGAAGGAAATGGCAACCTACTCCAGTGTTCTTGCCTGGAGAATCCCATGGACAGAGGAGCCTGGTAGGCTACAGTCCATGGGGTCGCAAAGAGTCAGACACGACTGAGCGACTTCACTTCACTTCATATATCTGATCATCAAGTGATAAGCTGAGATTTCATAGCAACCAAAGGAAAGGCCAGGTGAACCTTCCCAGCCCTAAGGCAGTGTCAATGCACAACTTAATGAATATATTTTGAATGGTCCCTGCCCAGTGGGCGGGCCTGACTCCAAATTTGGTCTGCCTTTCTCCTCACACAGAGAGGCTGAAGAAGCCAAAAGTCACGAGGAGCCTTGGGCTCACAAAGGACGGCATCTGCAAGATCAGCCTGACATGCTCAGTGGAGGACAGTGGACACAATGTGACATATGGATGGGCCCCTCTGCCTAAAGGAGCTGTCATTTCCCAAGGAGGAGCTCACCTCAGCATCTCCTGGATAAGTGGAGAAAAACACCCCAACTTCACCTGCATGGCCAGCAACCCTGTCAGCAACAGCTCCCGGCAGTTTCTTTCTAGGGACCTCTGTCCAGGTTGCTCCCCATCTCTGTTCAGCCAGACCTCAGAGCTTTGGGTCCTTGGACCTAAGAGTTTTCCTTCTGAGCAGTTCTTTATGAAGTGCAGCAAGTGGAGTGAGAGTCTTTAGAGCAGCACATGCCAATAGAAATATAACAGAAGTCACATAGGTAATTTAACTTTTTAAGTCATATGGAAAAGGCAAAAACAAAGGTAAAATTAACTTTAATCATATATTTTATTTTACCCAACATATCCAAAATATCATCCTTCAACATGTAATCAACACAAAGAATTATTCATGACATAATTTGCATTTCAGTTCGTATGAAGCCTTTGAAATCCAGGATGTGCTTTACCCTTATGGCACATCTCAATGAAGTACTTCCTTTCTCATGGGAAGTACTTGATCTGTATTCAGATTTCATAAAATTTGCCATTGAAAAAATATATTTTTTGATTGGGTCATTTATTTTTCTGGAGTTGAGCTGGAGGAGTTGCTTGTATATTTTTGAGATTAATCCTTTGTCTGTTGCTTCGTTTGCTATTATTTTCTCCCAATCTGAGGGCTGTCTTTTCACCTTGCTTATAGTTTCCTTTGTTGTGCAAAAGNGGGTGGAGAGGGAGGTGGGAGGGGGGACCGGGATGGGGAATACATGTAAATCCATGGCTAATTCATTTCAATGTATGACAAAAACCACTGCAGTGTTGTAAAGTAATTAGCCTCCAACTAATAAAAATAAATGGAAAAAAAAAGAAAAAAGAAAAAATATATTTATATCCAACTTGTTCCAAATATACTTAACAGTTTTTTGATTAGGAATTGAGTAACTGTTTTTAAATTTAAATTTTAATTAATTTAAATTAAACAGTTTAATTCCTCAGTCATACTAACCAAGATCACACAGCAAAAGCAGGATTGAGATTCTGCATTCTATGCTCTGCTCTTTCCTAGCAAGAAGTAGAGGGGAAAACAACGAAGGTCACCCAGGATGTGAAAATGCTGAGTCAGGCTGTGACTGGCAAATGGGTTTAGAGCCCTGATCAATAGTAATCTGGACTCACTATGTAGAATTCTCCTTATGCCACTTTTAGAGAAGGGCAGTGACATGATGGATAAGGGTGTTTTAGAGTCTGGCAGCCTGCATTCAAATCCAAGCTCAGGTTCTCTGTGACACTGGACAAGACATAAACCTCTCTATCCAGGGGTGGTACCTGCCTTACTGCTATAATTTCTTGCTTAGAGGATGACTGCTCAATAAACAGTTGTAGAATGAATGAATGAATAGGAATATATTCTGCAATAGTGTGGGATTTTAAGAGGAAGGTAGGATGGCCATTCTGTTCTGTTCACAGTTTACCCTAACTCTCTTCTTATTACTTATACTAATATCCCCCATTTCCTCTTCACAGGACCTGAGAGAAGCACAGAGTTTTGGATTGGGCTCTCCCTGGTGGTTCTTTTCATCCTTCTGGGCTTTGGGATCTCTGGCTGGTGCTTTTGGAAGCAAAAAAGACGATGTGAGTTTCTGACATCAATTTCATCTGCCAGCACTAGGCCATTTCCTTGGGACCTTTGGAGACGTCCTTGTCTTCTTATAACCCCTTTCTACCCCTTCTCTCTCAAACCTCATTTCTTCTCAGAGTGATCAGAGAGAGGTGTCAGTGGGGACTCTTTAGTTGCAAATAATTGAAACCCAATTCAAGCTAGCTTAGACAAAAAAAGGGTGATGTGAGGCGCAAGGGGAGTGAGTTGTTATCTGAGGGCTTATATGGTCAATCTTTGGGGAAGGAAGGGAAGAGCTGGCCTAGAGACAAACATCACCAGAGCCTCAAAAGTCACTAGGGTGCTCCATCTTTCATCCCTATTTTTCCCTTTGAGCCAGCTTAGCTCTCTTTCTTCAGCCAACTGAAGGGCAGGGGGGGTAGAATGTACCAAAACAGAGCAGCTTGTACTCCAGACCTACATGTACTGGTAGTTCAGACACCAGGAAGGGGAGAAAGATGTTTCCCCACCAACTCCAATTTGAAAAACCTTAGAAACCTGATTGGCTCCACTTAAGTCATGTGACTGTTGCTTGGACTAATCACTGTGGCCAATAGGATGAACTTTTGTGATTGGCAGCTCTTTCTGGAATATTGAAGGGAGATGGAATAGTTTCCAGGAAGAACAGATTGGTTAGAACACAGGGCCCCTGGAAGAATTACTGTGAGCCAGCAAACCAAACTGATAAGTGGCACCCACAGAGGGATCATAGCTCTCCCTTCCAGAGAGATGGCAGGAGGCTCCAGAGCATTCTCCTCAGCTGAAAATTACCCTAGACTATGGCCATCCCTTCCTGTGGGCTCGTTCTTACATCAGGGTTCACCCTCCTCCCAAAAGCCTTTTCCCTGTCTACATCTTCAGAAATCTCTCTCCCTCTCCTCTGACTCTCACAAAATCAGAAACTCTCTTCTCACAGCCCGATTGACACTCCTTCTCTAACTTTGTTTTCCAGGTTCAGCCGCAGCTTTCAGTTCCAGTCAAGCTGAGACATCAGTTGACACACCAGGTAATGTGTCACCAATGACACAGGCTATGGGGTCCCAGGCCACATGGAAGCTCCAGAACATGGCTACTCAGAGTGTGATCTGCACGTGTGACCAGCAACATGAGTATCCCCAGGAGCTTGTTAGAAATGTAAATCTTGGGCACCACCCCATAATTCTGAATATGAATCTGTATTTTAACAAGATCTGTAGGTGAATCACAAGGCTGTTAAAGTTTGAGAAGCTACGTGTTAAAGGAAGGTGATTTGGAGAACAAAAGAGACAAGGAGGCTGGACTCCTGAAAGATGGTAACCAGAGCTAGGAGAAGTAGTCTGTCCTCTGGGATATCTAGGATTCCTCAGGCACTGACTGTCATTACTGCAGTGTGCCCAATGATGAGGATGAAGCTATTGGCTCTACTCCAAGAATGGAGAAATAAAGACCAGATGCAATAGTAAATCTGTGACAGAAGCAAAATTAAAACATAAGACTTTCTAGTTACCTATTACCCAAGAGTATTACTGAGGCAGTGGTTTTCGGATTTTTGATAAAGCTAAGGAATGCTTTCTTCAAACAAAATATTATGCAACACCCCAAAAGCACAGTGCATGTAAAAGTGGAGCTGTTCTGCTGAGCTTTGGGATGGAGAGCTGAGATGGCTTCACCCTACTCTCCCACTCCGGAATCTCAGTGTTCTAAATTGCCACCTTGAACTCTGGAGCTCTGGAGTTCTAAGGAATCCCCAAACCCTGACCACTCAGTCAAATCCTTCTTTTAAAAATCCCTGTGTCACTTCTCATGGAGGGGATGCCCCAAGGAGGTAGAATAGGAGGAGGGCCTGCTGAGGGGAGCCAGGGGCTCAGTGTAGCCTTTTCTGATAGGAAAATGTAACCAAGAAAAACGGGGCAAGAAACGAAAATAAATCTGGACTTTGGAGATTCCCACCAGCTTCCTCCTGAGAGCTGGCAGGACAGACCCTGGTCTCCACTAGCCTGAACTCTCTTTCCTTGGCATCCTGGGCACAAGAGGAAGAGAGAGAAAGTACTGGGGACACCGCTGGCATCCGTGCCCCTCCTGTCCCTCCCCCCCAGCACCTCTCCTCAGTGCCCAAGTCCTGCTTCTTTCACTTCTCCATTATCTCTTCAGCTTCCTTTTCTCTAAAGACTCTGCCACTGCCTGAGTTCATGCTGTCACCAATTTTTTGTTTTATTGAATAGGTTTTTTTTTTAATTGAAAAGTCAAATATTCACATGGTAAAAACTAAAAATAATCCCCTCCTAAATCTCAATGACCAGGTATTTCCCTGAAAAGACCTCTATAGTTAAGATATATGTATGTTTACATCCTTTGAGAGCATTTTCATGCATTTACAAGCTGTATATTTTTTCCTTTGATCACATATGCGAGAGTAATCTATCACATTTTTCTGAGTCTGCTTTTTAAAATCTAATTGTAGATTAAGACTGACTCTCATCTATTCCATTCTACAGATATACCTTAATAAGTCTTTATTAATAGACATTCCCATGCCTGTAACTTCTTCTCTAAAATATTATAATAGTTTCCCAACTAGCTATTCCATCTCCAGATTTTCTCCTTTTTAGCCCTTCTGATGTCACTTTGCAAAGCTCAATTATGACTATTGTATAACCATCAATGGCTCCTTGTGGTCTTTGTCTGTTACTCAAAAGGCAAGATAACCTAGTGGTCATGTGTATAAATTCTTTAATATTTACTTATGTATTTATTTTTGGCTGCATTAGGTCTTAGTTGCAGATGCTGGATCTTCGTTGTGGCACACAGGCTTCTCTCTAGCTGTGGCATGGGCTCCAGAACATGTGGGCTCTGTGGTTTGTGGTAGGCAGGCTCTCTAGTTGAGGAGCATGGGCTCAGGAGCTGCTGTGTACAGGCTTAGTTGCCCTGCGGCCTGTGGGATCTTAGTTTCCTGACCAGAGATCCAACCTGCATCCCCCGGTTGGAAGACAAATTCTTAACCACTGGACCACCAGGGAATTCCCAGGTGTAAGAGGCCTAAGTTCAGATAATACTGTGTCTCAATCTTAGCTCTCCTCCTCTTTAGTGATCTTGGGCATTTCAGTCTCTAAACCTTAGTTTCCTTACTTTGCAAAATGAGGGCACCAACCTCTTAGCTTTGCTGTGAGGACTGCAAGGGACAGCAGGGAGTCCACAGTATGCACTCAATAGTGAGAGGGTAACAGGCAGGAAGGCCAGGGGTCTCCAAACGAGGAAAGTGGCTGCAAGTGCCAGACATTTTTATCTCTCTTAAGCGGCAGGAGGAAACAAACCAGTGATATTTTTTCTTCTCTATACAAATTTAAAAGGAGGTTTCTCTTAAAATGTTGTGTTGCCATGACACCTGGTTTCACCTGAAGCAACCTACTCTCAAACCTTGAGTTAACGAATACATTTCTTTTTCTTATGGAAATGTTGTCTTAAGCTATGACTCTATCTTCAAGTTGGTTCTGCCAAATGGCCCAACCTACTTACTCAGGTATTGTTCCCCTAATCTATGTGAACGAAACTATTTGTTGGCAATCTGCCCTTCTACAAGATTCAAGTCAATCGTTTTCTGGCCAGGGATGAATTATCTGGTGCCATTCTAAGTTTTATGACATTCCTTTCTTTTCATTAACAGATTGTTAGTAGCTATATAACAATAAGGCATCCTGCCTGAGGACACTCTTTGGATTAAACCCTCTGGCTAATTCTGTTATCTGAAAACATAAATTATGGGAGTAGGTCTGGTCTTTACAAGGATGTATCCTGCCTGAGGACAATTTTTGAATTAAACCTTCTGGCCAACTCTGTTATCTTATAATGTAATTCATGGGAGTAAGTCTTGTGAGGTCTTTACAACCTCCAGACATTCTTTGGATTGATTGGAGTGTATATAACTCCATTGCTAATACTAGCAAAGGGGTACTCTTTTGCCCCCTTCTGATGCCTATGTCAGAAGCTTTCTCTATCTCCTTTATACTTTAATAAAACTTGCCTATGTCAGAAGCTTTCTCTATCTCCTTTATACTTTAATAAAACTTTATTACACAAAAGCTCTGAGCGGTCCAGTCTCATCTCTGGCCCCAGATTGAATTCATCCCCTCTGGAGGCCAAGAATCCCGGCGTCTTATCGTTCAGCAACAACCTTTCAATAGGAGATAACTTTGTGTGTTGGGGCAGGGAGGCTCAGACATGTCCGACTCTTTGTGACCCCATGGACTGTAGCTCACCAGGCTTCCTCTGTCCATGGGATTCTCCAGGCAAGAATACTGGAGTGGCTTGTCATTTCCTTCTCCAGGGGATCTTCTTGACCCTGGGATCAAACTTGCATCTCTTGTGTCTCCTGCACTGGCAGACACATTCTTTACCACTAGCACTACCTGGCTTCCCAGGTAGATAAGTACTATTATCACTCAATATCTGGCCAGGTCGTCTTTAGTCTACTTTTTTCCTATGTAAAACTCATAGGGGGCAGTATTGAGTAGCAGGTAAGAACATCAGGGGTCAGACTACCTGCATTCAAATCCTGGCCCTCCCACTTAAACTTGGGCAAATATTCAACCTTAATGTGCTCTGTTTTTTCATCTGTGAAACATAAATAAGGATAGTTATTATCTATGTTTAATGGGGTTTTATGCAGATTGAATGAATTTATTCATGAAAAGCATTATTTTTAGAACAGTGCCTGACTCACAGTTGGCACCTAAAAAGTGTAAGCCATTATTATTCTACGTGTAGGTCAAATGGGTTGATTGATATGTCCCAAAGGCAGTAGAGGTCCACCCAGTTGTTTATAGCAGCCACCCATTCTGATTGTCCTCTGCCCAAACCACGTGGTTGCTAAATATTTTAAATATCATCCTTTTCCAAAAGAGAGGGTGCCTCAAGTTTCATACCTGCCTTTAATCATGCTGTTCTCTCCACCAAGAATACACTTTCACTCATCAAAGTCCCAGTGTGAAGGCCCACCTTAATTCAGTCCTTTCGTAAGCTCTTCTCTGCTTCCGAACTGGAGACTATGTCCTCTCACTCATGCGCTTTTCTCATAGTTTTCCTATGACATTGTCAGAGCTGGCCTTACATAATTTGATTTATGTATGTATCTGACTCCGCTAGACAGTGTACTCTTTCAACACCAGGTCTAATTCACATTTATGTTTCCCCAGAATACTGCTCACTGAGAGATGCTAAGTCCATCACATGTCACACTCAATGAATGTTTATCAAATGAATGAATAAGTGAGCTCTTGAAAGAAAGGAGGAATGGGGAGGGGAATGGAGCCCCATGAGGGAAGACAGGAAACCTTTCCTTCTCCTCCAGTTCTCTAGGCCTCATCTGGGGTAGGAGTCAGAGCAAAGCAAGAGAGAGGGGGGTGCTGGTACATCCTTTACCAATCCTGAACAATGTGTTCCAGAGCCCACTGCTGGCCGCATACCATACTCCATGCTTTCCCAAGGGTGTGAGGAGCTGGACACTTTCCCTAAGACTGCCAGGCATGCCTCCGACAGCAGCTCTGACAGCAATGGAACAACTGAGGAGGATGAGGAGAGGACAGGGATGCACCAGCCCATCAATGGAAGAGACCAGGTGTGTGACTCGGGCACTCGGGAGGACGCCGGACTTGACTCGGACTCTGAGGGCCAAGCAGAGTATGATCTCGTCACTCCAGATAACATGGCACCAGCACTTGTGGTTGAAGGGGAAACGGTGTACACACAAGTGTTCCTTAACTTGCAGGTGAGCTCTTTTGATCAGTACACCTTCCCTTGCCCTTCCCTTCTAGGACCATCCAGTATCCTGGAAGGCTAATCCCTCCAAACTGGGGGACAGGCACAGCAGTGCATGGGTAGAGAATTGTGATTCTATCCATGTTTACCAACCTCAGGGATCCTCAAAGCAAAGGAACCCATCCCTCAGCTCCCAATCTTGTGCCATAAATAAGAGAGGTGCTGGGAAAACAGAGGTGCTGTCTCCACTGCACTAAGGCAGTCCCACCCTCTATGTGAAATCAGAACCTGGTGAGGTGATCCTTCACCTCAAAGACTGAGGGTGAATCTCTGGAAAACTCTTTTTGGGTGATTATGGACAGCCTGGTGTTGATCTGTTACAGGGAAAGACTCCAGTTCCTCAGAAGAAAGAGAATTCAGCCACAGTCTACTGCTCTATACAGAAACCTCAGAAGGTGAGAACAATTTTCTCTGTATCCTGAGGTCCATAAAGTGAGGCCCAGACCATTTTAACTGAAAGCAGAGGAACTTAAGCTCCACCCACTGTGCACCCCCTGACACACTCCTTGGTCCATAGAGATATTGAAAGAATTATTCCTGATTTACATCTATGCAGCCAAAAGCTGAACATTTCTAATTAATTTAACAATATCTTATATTGATTGGTCTTAGCACTGACGAGAATGAGTCTATAAACACAAACACTATACGGTCCATATATGTTTCTAAATCTTTCTCTCATCCATCAAAATGGAAACTTTCCAAAACAATTGGAATATAACCAACAGTATAATGTCAAGATTTTTTTGAAAATGTGCTATTTAATTACAGCACATTGGTTTCATTATAGTGTTAAAAGATCCCTTAAGCATAAAAATGGAGAAGGAAATGGCAACCCACTCCAGCATTCTTGGCTGGAGAATCCCATGGACAGAGGAGCCTGGTGGGCTACTATCCTTGGGGTCACAAAGAGTCAGACACAACTGAGTGACTGAACACTAAGCATAGAAATTCCCATTAATAATAAGTTTATATAAACTTTAATAGTTTACAAAACATTGACAAACATAGTCTCATCTGATCCCTATAATACCTTTGTAAGTGTGCTATCATGCAAATTTTATACCCAGAGAAGCTGAGATTGAGGAAACTAAGTTTGCCTAAGTACACAGAGCAAGTGGTTAGTAAACACAGAGATTTTTATTAATTCTGAAAACTCTTAAACAATTAACTTTGATCTGAATCTGGCTGTCTGCTCCTCTTTCACTTTCCTGAAAACATTGGGCCCATTCATACTTTCGCTTTCAAGTCTCCCCCAGAATTCCCTTCCTGTAAAATGTTCAAATAAGACTTTTTTTTTTTTAGCTCTCAAAGTTTTTCAGTTATGCTCCTTCTCTATAGTTGATGAATCAAACAGTAGATATTTATTCAATACCTTTTGTTTGCCCAGAACTGGGCTGAGTGCTCTGGGGATTCAGATATGTTTAAGGCACTAGCCTTGACTTTTAAGACTTGTTATATTATCTATCTTTGATGTAGGAGAGTTGGAGTGATTTAGTAACCTGGATGGGGAGAGAAAATATTCTACGTGACTACATATTATGTATGCAATTCCCAAGGGTTCTTCATACACTGGAAATGGTAGATAGCACTGCACAGAGGTAGACAGGAACAACTTCATGGAAAAAATAATTTGGACTAGACCTTAAAAGACTGATAAAATTTGCTTGGTAAACACTCGTGCAACTGTATAGTTTGATTCAACCATCTTCTGCCTCATGTCCTGATTTCTAGAGCATGGCCTAATGTTTAATCAGCTAAGAACTTTATCTTTGGCCTTGAAGCCAAATCTGTGTTATTCACTACATTCCCAAAGCTGCTTGGGTCTGGCCCTTTGTGTTTGGGTCAATACTAGTCAATCTTAAAGTCATGGACATCAGTCCCTGCTCCGAGTTTCAGACAGGTCATGAGACCCCCCTTTGTCTGGTCAGTTCTGAATGACTCCTACACCACTCCAGGAACTTAAGATCCCTAAAACCACCCTCACCCACAATACAAGTGAAAAAATCAATGCATTTCCTGACCCAACCTCCAGATAGAATTTATTCTTTACCTTCAGAATTTTCAAGAATCCTCATTCTGGGTTTCCTAAAGTGACCATTTCCCACTTGATCAGGAAATCCTCAAGCCTTCTTTAGTTATTATTTTCTGACACTTGTATCTGCATGATATCTCAAAGAAGCTTGTGCTATTCCCAAGCTATGGCTGGTACATAACCTCCTCTCTGGGCTTCCCAGGTGGCTCAGTGATAAAGAATTCACCTACAATGCAGGAGACTCAGGTATGATCCCTTGGTCGGGAAGATTCCCTGGAGGAGGAAATGGCAACCTTCTCCAGTATTTTTGCTTGGAAAACCCCATGAACAGAGGAGCCTGGCAGGCTACAGCCCATGGGGTGGCCAAAGAATGGACACAACTTAGCGACTAAAGAACAACAGACCTTCCCTCTGCATCAGCTCATGTCTCATCTGCTCTTTTGAGCCTTTCCTGAACTCTCACAAACAAGGGATTCTCAGAACCCTTGGAACATGAAGGTCTAATGGTTTGGACTATTACTATGGAACTCAACCTCTAAAACTTGAATTATCTTTATATAAATGTTTCTCTCGCTAGGGTGAAGATTGGGATCCCAAACTGTATCTTCTTGAGAGCAAGGCCTTTTATTGTCACTTATGAACCCCCTCAACTTGTTGCACAAAACTGTCCTAAATCTCCCTTCCAGAGAGCCTGGCACATGGTGCTGAACATTAGGAGATTTTCCATAAATGCTTATCATCAGCTTGAATGATTGCTCCATCCTTACGCCAATCCATATGACCTTACTTCTATAGGATGGACCATTCATAGCCTGGCCTCACCTTCCTCTCTCCTCCCAGCACAAGGTTGAGAAAACTGGTAACTTCCCGGCTTTATTAACCATATCCTTGTGTGTGTTTTGGCTCACAGGTTGTGCCACCACCACAACAGAATGACCTTGAGTCTCCTGAAATACCTACCTATGAAAATGTCCCCTGAAAAGAAAGGCAACTACCTCCCTCAGTGAGGTTAGAGAGGCTGCTAGACCTAATAAGGCCTGGGCCCCTGCAGACAGAAGAACTTCAGAATTTCCTTCATTGTCTCAGATATGCCTGCATTTGGGCCTCCTCTTTTTCTCACACCTCGTGACTTCCCAAATCCACCAACAGATCAGAGGCTGATCAGACAGCCTCTGGGCTCTGTTTGTCTCCTATGCTCATATTGTACAACCTCTTAGCTCAGATGCATGCCTCAAAACTCTGCCAAGGCTCGTCATGTCGTCAAAGAGGACCACGATCTTCACATGGTCCTATAAACAGCTGCTAAGATAAATCTAACAGATAATCTCACTTATGAACTCAAAGATCTAGGTGAAATCATGGCCACTGTAGTATTTTTTTAAATAAAAGACTAGAAATAACCTAAGGGTCCATTTAGTAGGAATCTGATTAATCACATGAAAATGTACCCATGCAATGGCAAAGCCTGCCACTTTTTTAAAGAAGGAAAGTAGAGACTAATATGTGCTAATAAGAAGGAGCTCCAAGATACGTCATTTGATGGACAGAACAAAGTCCTGGACAGTGTGTATCATATGTCACCAGTTGAATAAAAAAGAAATAGATAGCTGTATGTTTACATGAAGAAAAATTCTGAAAGGAAATACAAAAAAATTATCAGTGGCTGCCTCTGGGAGGAAGCTGGGTTGGTTTGGGGATGCTTTTACTGCATATATTTTGTACTGCTGGATTTTTTAAACCATTTGTGTGTATTACTCTTTTTAACCAGTATTCTTGGGCTTCCTTTGTGGCTCAGCTGGTAAAGAATCTGATTGCAAAGCAGGAGACCTGGGTTTGATCCCTGGGTTGGGGAGATTCCCTGGAGAAGGAAAAGGCTACCCACTCCAGTATTCTGGCTTGGAAAAGTCCACAGGGTCGCAAAGAGTTGGACACGACCGAGCGACTTTCACTTTCACATTATTTTTTTTATATATTTTTAAGTGCTTAAAAGCAATGGAATTCCAGTTGAGCTATTTCAATCCTAAAAGATGATGCTGTGAAAGTGCTGCACTCAATATGCCAGAAAATTTGGAAAACTCAGCAGTGGCCACAGGAATGGAAAAGGTCAGTTTTCATTCCAATCCCAAAGAAAGGCAATGCCAAAGAATGCTCAGACTACAGCACAATTGCACTCATCTCACACACCAGTAAAGTAATGTTCAAAATTCTCGAAGCCAGGTTTCAGCAATATGTGAACCAGGAACTTCCAGATGTTCAAGCTGGTTTTAGAAAAGGCAGAGGAACCAGAGATCAAATTGCCAACATCTGCTGGATCATTGAAAAAGCAAGAGAGTTCCAGAAAAACATCTANTATGGATGTGAGAGTTGGACTATAAAGAAAGCTGAGTGAAGAAGAATTGATGCTTTTGAACTGTGGTGTTGGAGAAGACTCTTGAGTGTTCCTTGAACTGCAAGGAGATCCAACCAGTCCATCCTAAAGGAGATCAGTCCTGGGTGTTCATTGGAAGGACTGATGTTGAAGCTGAAACTCCCATACTTTGGCCACCTGATGCAGAGAGCTGACTCGTTTGAAAAGACCCTGATGCCGGGAAAGATTGAGGGCAGGAGGAGAAGGAGACGACAGAGGATGAGATGGTTGGATGGCATCACTGACACAATGGACATGGGTTTGGGTGGACTCTGGGAGTTGGTGATGGACAGGGAGGCCTGGCGTGCTGTGATTCATGGGGTCGCAAAGCGTTGGACACGACTGAGTGACTGAACTGAGCTGAACTGAAGCGCTTAAAATGTCCCTTCTGTTTAAGATTCCTGTATTTACCCAAAAAGAATTTTCCTCCTTATTGTCATGTCCAGATGTATATGAGCCATATCTCTTTTCTCCCCCAAACAATCACCTCCATCCTGTCTCCCTGCCTATAAGTTACACTGCTCTTGACTTACATTCGTGATACTCTTGTGTGCACTTGTGTTACATGTGCTTTGTGGCCCATTTGTGTTTTTTAATACTGTGCTTCTGCTGTCATCTGCCCCAGCACATGGTCTGTGAAATCAGAGTGTTGTCTGTGGCCTGCAGTGGGTATTCCTGGGGAGCCAAGCAGTGCTTCATACACAGCAGGAACTTATTTACTGCTTTGTTCACTGGCTGGTAATTGCATGGATAATTATCTTTTTAAGGCATTATCACAGAGTTCAACAAAGACATATTAGATGATAATGATAATCATTATTACATTCCAGAATAGAGCATCCCTGAAGTTGCTAGACCCATAGAATCTCTTTTGCTCCTTAAATGAATCTGCACAGTTCAAGATCTATGCAACTTAGGACATGTAAAAGGCCAGCAGTAGGCAAAGGTTAGCATCTCTGCTGTTCATCTGAATTGCTATGACCCCTATAATTTGCTATTCCTTCTTCTCACGAAACTCCTGACTAGGCTGTTCAGCTGCCCACTGATCCAACAATCGCATTGGATCCTCTCCCCATCCTTTTGCAGTCTTCAATTTTTACCCCAATACTTTCTCAAAGATGTTGTCTATCGACTAGTCTACAGGAAGAAGCTAACTTGACCAATCACACACCCACAGGGGAGAAGGATCCGAGGGGCATGAGCAAGTGGCTACCCCCCAAGACTAAGTGGGCACTGGGATCTGGGGACCCTAGAATCTGCTGTTCCAGTGTGAACAAGGCTAGGAGACAACTAGCTCACCAGGAGTCCAGACTCCTCTCCAGCAGGAGTTAAACAGCGTGTGTTTATTGATGGCCCACAAGTGCCCTTTGGCTGGGAGAGGAAAAGTACAGAGTAGGGAAGAGACCCATTTCCATTTTCTATCCTAAATTTCAGAAAAGAAATTTAGATTGCCTTTAAGTAATAGCACAGATCTATGTTAAATTCATACCTTAAACACAGTGGGGCAGTTGAAGAATCAGGCTCCATGCAATGTTACCTGTTGGGGTCTCTGACCAGGCCCTCTTGCAGTTTCCCCTTTCCTGGGCTCAGCCAGACTTTCAGCCTGCTCCCCACAGTCTTGTGGAAGGGTCTGGCTTGAAGGCTCAGGGGAGCCCAGCAGGGTGCCTGGGTCCTCACTGCTCAGCTGCCTGAGCCCTCCCTCTAGCATTTGCCATGGGGAGCATCAGGACTCGGAACTTAAATGATACTGTTTCTAATGGTGAGGAGTGTGTAAAGAAGCCAAAATAGATGTCTAATAATGTGTTTGTGTAAATCAAACATCATTCTGTAGGCAAAGTTGCTTCCACTGCCCGATTATTAGGATGGCATGGACTCTGGGTGATTTTTCCACTCAGCGATGGGCTTGATTTGCATCATCTACTCTTGCTCCTGCCCACACCCATTTGTGACCAGATGGCTAGAGGTAAAGTTTAATATGTATTGGGGAAGTTTTTCCTCTGTATTTGAGTATAGACCAGGCCTGGCTTCCTTGGAGAACTTGCTAGTGCCTTAGGGCTATTTAGTATACCTTCACTAAGGTATACTAAAAACTAAAGAAAGAGGGACCTCTTTCTTCTCCTCTGAGCCCCCACTATCTTTCCTTCCTTTTTGGAAGATGAGTCTGGGCAAAGAAGGGTCTAGAAATGTGGTCATCATTGATTAGGGAGGAGTGAAGATGAGTCACCAGGGGAAAACCAGGGAAACAGAATCTTAATGTGATAGTAACACCACATTTACATAGCACTTGGAGATGACCAGCACTTGGACATGCTGTGTCATCTTTTGGAAACTACCCAACATCTCTATCTGCTCTTGTCTGGTCTGTGAGTTGAGATATTACTTAACAGCCTTGCTTTTAAAGCAGCTGTTAGAAATCATTTTCAAATAAATAAATTTATATTTTAAAAAAATAAAAGTAATGTTTAAAAAAAAAAAGAAATCATTTTCGAAATGAATATAGACCACGCACAAACTCTTATATCGTCTCCAGACTAGGAGCCACTCTGCAGAGACTCATGTGGTATCATCCATTGTGCTGATTCCCAAAGCAGAAGTTGGGCTTTAAGAGGGGTGAGAACAGCCATGGCAACTAGGAATATATGCAGAAGTTCTCCAGCTCCCTACGACTCAGTCGAGCAGGGTTCTCAGCTTTGGAAGTTCTTTTTCCAACCTGCAGAAGAAAAGAAGAACTTCAGACGCTCCCACTAAAAGATCCTTATAACAGTCCTGTGGGCTATGAATTATTATCCCCGTTCATCATTCATAACAGAAGGAAGCTCAGCTTGGGAAGGGAAATAACTCAAAGTCAACAACTAGCGAGAAGTAAGGGGCTTGAATCCAGTTCTTCTGGCTCCATTTCTAGTGCTGTTAACCACACCATGCTTCTTCATGACCCACTTTGCCTTGGCCCACACAGTGTCCTCTACAAACCTTGACTGTCCAGTTGGCTTTAATGTGGGGCTGCAGCTCAAGTGCCAGAAATTCCAGCAGGCACCCATCCACACTCCCTTGTGACCCGTGGCAACATCTTTATCAGGCCACAGGTGGAAGCTCAGGTGCTATATGAGGCTGATGAGCAGGGTGCTCTCCATGCCTTCAATTCTCTGGGTATAAATGGGAAGTATAATTACACTACCTCATAGCATTCTGTGAAGATTAAATGAGATAGTGCACATGAAGTCACTGGCAGGCTACCATTCATATGTATATACAATAAACCTCCAATAAACACTGAGTGCCTACTTTCCATTCCCTAAAAGGCTTGATGAGAATCAATCCAGCCACCAGGCTCGATGGTCACCATTGTGCAGTGTCCATCCTAGCAGCAGCTGAAGATTATGTGTCCTGGAGTGATGCCCAATTACTTGCTAACTTGGGGAAATCGTTTACATTCATTCATCCTCCCTTCTCTGTCCCCCACCTACCAACACACACATATCCATGGAAAGGAAAGAGGTCCAGTGTCTGGCCCACAGCCAGGAAACCAGTATGGAAACAGCCCTAGTTTAAAACTCAGTCTTGGGGAGTTCCCTGATGGTCCAGTGGCTAAGACTCCACACTCCCAATGCAGCAGGCTGGAGTTTGAATCTTGGTCAGGGAACTAGATCCCACATGCCACAACTAAGAGTTCATATGTTGCAACTAAAGATATCGCATACAGCAGTGAAGATTGAAGATCCCACATGCCATAAATAAGACCTGGAGTGGTCAAATAAATAAATAAATATTGGGGAAAGATACAATCTCCCCAAAAGGAGTCAAATCCCCAAAATATGATAAGATCTTGGGTTAGACCATAGCTCTTCTTGAACCTCCGCTTCCTCATCTCTAAAATGAAGATTCACATTAGAAGATCCCTGAAATCCCTCCAACTCTGAGATGCTATGGATGACTTTTCTCACATGTGACTTCAGAGCTATGCTGTAAGCACTAAACCCATTCAGAAAGAATTCCAGAATCTTACCTCTTCATAGATAGTTTTATTGAAGGACGGGCTGTGGTTCACCTTCTTGGATCCAGTCTGGAATTTCAGAGGGGAAAGAGTGCTTAACTTCAAGTTAAGAAATGTCTTACTTTTAACTGGTGTGAGAGGTCTCAAAGGAGACTCGAACCCAGAAAGTGCCTGAAGTTTTCTCACCCAGAAGTGTCTAGAATTTTCTACCCTGAGAGTAAACAATGGTGTTCATGGTTTCCAAAGAAGGCACAATACACAGTTGCCTATGACATGATATTTCTGAACCAAAGTCAAAGTTTAGTAGCCCACACTCACATACCCCTGAAATCCACACATACACATATTCCCAGCACCCACACAGACACACACCCTTCAGACAAATCTAATTCAAATACTGCCTCAAACTGTGTATCTTTTCAACACTTAACATACATACACACGGTTAGTGTAAACAATTCTGCCACACACTTAAGTACCAGTCCTAGCACATACCCTGAACACAGTAAACACTGGAGACATGGGAACTCAGAAGCTTTCTCAGTAGTATACAGAGCTTTCAAAACCTAATACCAAAGCATATGATCACAGTTTCTGTGAATATACGTTCATAAACTACAGTGTATAATTTAAGCATGGGCTTCCCTCATGGTTCAGCAGTGAAGAACCCACCTGCCAATGCAGGAGATGAGGATTTGATCCCTGGATTGGGGAAATCCCCTGGAGAAGAAAATGGCAACCCACTCCAGTATTCTTGCCTGATAAACCCCATGGACAGAGGAGCCTGGTGGGCTACAGTTCATGGGGTCACAAAAGATTCAGACATGATTTAACAACAAAACAACAACAACATAATTTAAATATAAATATCTCTCATGGAATCTGGGCTTCCCAGGTGGCACTAGTGGTAGAGAACCTGCCTCCCAATACAGGAGACATTAGAGATGCAGGTTCAATCCCTGGGTCGAGAAGATCCCTTGAAGGAGGCCACTGGCAACCCACTCCAGTATTCTTGCCTGGAGGATCCCATGGTCAGAGGACCCAATAGTCCATAGGGTCGCAGAGTCAGACAGGCCTGAAACAACTTAGTACACATGCATGGTAGAATCCAAGTTGACTTAATGACTTATTAGAAGGGGAGTGAATGAAAAATCTAAAAATCTTCCCAAACCTCTCCTCCTCTTGACACAAACACAGGATCCTTGACCCATATGAGTGTAACACTTCCACAGTTTGGCAGATTCCCAACTTCCAGACTACAGTGGCAAGGTTTTGGCTTCATACTGTGACTCCAGCCTTGGAATTAACATTCTGCCCACCCCCTCTCTTCCAAGGTAGAAATATGACCAGGGGCATTAAGATGTCCTACTTTGTGGTCCCAGGCACAGGTAACAGCCATGAGCTCAGATTGGAGCAGGTTCCAAGGGGACTGTGATGGGTTACCTCAGTCTAGAGACCACTGCCAGCAGGTGACTGGCCAGAACCTTTGTTTGATTCTCTAAGAGTCAACACTGTGTCCCTCTTAGTCCAGTCTACTCCTCCAGCTGTAGATTATATGCCCGTGCCTTGAAAACCTCTCCAGGATCTCTCACCATGGCCTCAGCTGGTCCGATGAAGACTCTGTGGGCCTTCTGCACAAAGCGCCTCCTTTCTGTCTTTGATTGTCCACTGCTTCTCACAGAAACTCACAGAAAATCCAACTCTCCTCCTAATCTCAGAACTGTTCTTTTTCTCCAAACGAAACCAGAAAGGCATTTCTAGTTGATCCATTAACACTTAAACAGTCATTTCACACAAGCTACTCAGATACACACAGTGGAAGACAACTCACTTAGAAGTACACCCATGCAGACACACAACACACCCTCTGCAAACACATACCTGAATATGCATGGACAAAATACATATCTGTATATAAACAGCAGCCCATAGAGAAGACTTACCTTCCAGGGAGCCTGTACTAATGAATACAGTGTATTTGCATTATCTTGTGACGTGGAAGCAGAAGGCTAAAGAGAACAGAAACAAAGTCATTTCAGAAGCATATAGCCAGCACAATCCTAGAGAGACAGGCATCTATCTCTTCCATTCCTCACCCTCAATCTTCCCCAGATGGAAGCTCAAGATGTTAGTGAAAAGAACCCTAGATTAGTTGGGAGGTCAGACAACCTGAATGCTAGTCCTGCTTTGTCATTAAAGATAATGACATATGTCATAATTTGCTCCATTCTACAGATGATACTCCAAAAGAGTAAATAGCCCAAGTCAGACAGTGTGCTCACAATAGAAGCAGGATTTAAGCCTCAGACTTTCAAGATTCTCTCTCCAGCACCTCAATAGCTCCCTCTGACATCATTCCTTCCCTCTCTGGATCTGAAGCAGGTGTTCTCAAAGGCAGGTAACCATCCTCTTTTTGCTCAGAGGAGAAATCTCATTCTCACCAGCATCTCAGTCTGAGAGGAGCTCTTCCCTTGCATTTATTTAAATTCCTCTTGTTATAATTCAGAGTGGCTGAAGCCAGAAATTGTCCTTACATCTCTCTTTGACACACTCTGACCCACTATCAGCAAGCCACATCATCTTAAGGGGAACAAGAGAAAGCAACACCCAGCTTGGGAATTCCAGGGTGGCTCTGAGTGGTTGGGTGCCTCCCTCCCTCCTTTCCTCTTTCTCTTCCATTTCTCTCCTCTCTTCCTCTCCCTGTATTGCCTCTCCTTGTCCTCTTCCCCTTCCCTTTCTTCTCTTCCTTCTTTTCTTGATCTTCCTCTGAAGCTTATCACCATTCCCTAAGAGTTTCCTTTGCCCTGCAGCCTAGCCACAAAGCTAAAGAGTTTGTTGCCTGAAGTCTTAGCTTTAAAAAAAAAAAAAAAAAGTCATTTCTATCAGAAATTTTCATCACTGGCCACCAGGAGACAGCATTTCTTTTGAAAACAATGCCCCAACCTGGGTTATCAATAGTCATTTTAGCAGTCATTATTAGAGGTTGCTTCTCTAATCTATGAATGAAGTCCTACAACCCCAAAATGTTAAAGATGAAGTAGGCAGAGGTAGAGAGAAAACTTGAAAATCATTTGGCTCAGGTTTGTCACAGCAGAGCTATGTGGCCTTGAACACATTTAGTTAAACTCTTGAGTCTGTTTCCTCATCTACAAAATGAGTTTTCTATTAGACCTATTTCATGAGGTTGTTTTATGAGATTCAATAAGAAAGTGGCATGTTAAGTGCTTAGTAAATGTTATTATTAAGTCATAATTAGATAAAAGAACAGCACAGATGCATTCTCTCCTGAAAACAGGTATAGTTAAGGGCGAGAATAAGAAGTACAAAGTCCCCAAGTACAGGGGGCATCAGGAAGAGAAAACAGAAGTTGAGTCCCCTGACAAGATTCCTCCTCCCACTGGACCACCCTTGCTTCCAAGCATGGAAGAGAAAAGGATGTCTGTGTCAGAATTTCCAGTCCTGTTCAGCTGTCAAGACATTCCAGGATCGCACTCATCTATACAAACACTGTAATGCAACAGAGGCCAAGCTGTCTTCCAGTCTCCAGGAGCACCAAGGTCTTACTTTGCCACTCAAGGGTGTGAGTTTCTAGGGGGGCATTAGGAATCCCCATGGACAGGCATGGACTGGATTCTAGAAACCAGAGCAGTACCTGGGACTGGATCGTGGAGTAGATGGTTTTCTCTTCTCCAGGGGGTTTCTGCTCCTGCACAAAAGATAGTAAAGGGACATATGGTGACATGAGCAGACAGGCATGTCTGTCTGGATGTGAATTGACTGGGGAGAAACAGGATAAGCAATGGGGCTCCGGGGAGTGTGGGAAGGATGTGGTCCTCGCACATCTCAGGATGGGGACAGATACTCACCATGCAGCAATGTCAGGAGTGAGAAACCATGCAGTGTTTCCACTATGACTGCAGGAGTCACCATGCAGTGTCAGGAGTGAGAAACCACCCAGATGTGAAAGAATTGCATCAAGTGACCCTGCCCAATGGAGTTTCCTGTAGCTTGCTTTACTTTGGTAGCTTAGAAACTTGCCTCTGCGGACTTTCTGATTAAATTTGCAATGTAATTATTGACAATGGGCTGAGCTTTGGGTGGGGCTCTAATCTGAGCCTTACCTATTAAGAAGTGGCTTCCCTGGGGGCTCAGACAATAAGGAATCTGCCTACAATGCAGGAGACCTGGGTTCGATCCCTGGGTTGGGAAGATCCCCTAGAGAAGAAAACGGCAACCCACTCCAAAGAACACAAATTTGGGGACCCTAATTGTTCCAAATCCCTCTCTCTAGACCCAGCTTTGGTGGCCAGCTTGCCCTTGGCCTCAGTCCAGCCCCCTGTGCAGCTATGGTGCTGAGTGGAGCCTTGGCCAAGGCCTGGGGCAGGGAGCACACTCCCTTCTGGCTTCCCTCTTCAGTCCTGCCCCACAGGAGATTGGGGCTTGCGGCATTTCATGATGCCCTGAGTACATACTGCCAGTTTTGGCTCTGAGGGGGAGTCCATGGAGCCCATTACAGTCCATGAGACAAGGAACAAGCTGAACTCCCCAGAAGCAGGAAGGTGATGAGAGAAGCAGAGAAACACCAGCCATCCTCGGAGGCTAGATTCGTGGGCATCTGGCAAGAAACAGAAGTTTATGCTTTTCTCTTCTGCCCAGACCTGACTGAAGTATCCCCAGAAAGGTCAAAGCCAGGACCACGTGAAGCTTGCGATATAAGCCTTCAAGCAGAACCTTGGGGGCACTAGGGACAGGCCATGGAGAGAGGGGGCCACAGAAGGAGGAAGACCTGAGTCAGAAGCAGAGTAACAGACTTCAATCCCCAGCAGGTCTCTTTCACTCTAAATAGTTTCCCCTGTGCTCTCCTTTTACCTGATTTAAAGTCATCTTTATTCTGCTGGGGAGGAAAGGCTATTTTTATTGAGCATTTGGGCATCGGTGACTGTTGGAAGATGCACTTGCTCCCAGGAACTTGTACCAGCATCCAGTAGTGATGGGAGAAACAAAGTCTCCTGCCATTTTTCATGCCCCATTACTCCAAGGAAAGAGGCCAGGGGAGCTGCTCTAGTTCCAAATGCCCTAATTCCAAAGCCTAGACCTTTAGGAAGCTGCTTTTCTGTTCTGTGAGGCCTCACAGGGCCTCACACTGGTCACCAAGAGCAGCCCCACTGCTGTGACTTCCTCCTGAAGGGAAGCATCAGGAATGGGAGTGGGAAGAGGCCCTTCCTCCCTACACCCATCACCCTTCTCTCCTGGCATTTCAGCTGGGCGCTGCCTTTCCCCAAGGCCTGTCCCTACACTCTGCCCTTCTCAGGGGCAGTGCAGTTCCTTGTGGTTTCCTCCTCTCTGACACCCCTGGACTATAGGTTGAGTTGGCCACAGCCTGCAGATACTGACTGGCTGGAGAGGTTCCCAGAGGAACTAACTTTTGCCCTAACCTGGTTACTCTCTAGCACCTCAGCCAGACTCAGGCATCTTCTTCCAAAAATACTGTGAGCATAGATCACAGAGCCAGCTATGAAACTGCTGTGCTTGGGCTAGTCAGGCTGGCATCCTTCCCAGCCAGGGCAATGATTAAGGGACCCACAAAAGTAAACTCGGATTTGCAAGGACCTGAGAATTTGTGGTCAGGCACAAAATGCAAGCAGGTTGGACTCTTCCTGGAGCTTAGCCTGGCTGGTGAGACCAGGCAGAAATGAGGATACCAGGGTACCATCCTTCCCAGCAGGCACAATTCTGCACCAAGATTCCCTTCTTCTTCCTTTGTCTTCTCTGCCCTCTTATTTTCCTCTTCTCCCCCATTGCCAGAGCCAAGAGCTTAATGGAGAAAAGATATATGGGGAGGACTGAGGACAATTGTCTGGTCCTCACTCTCCCCCTGCCCAGATTGGCCATCCTCCAAAGAATATCTCTCAGACTAGCTGAGAAAAATCCCAGCCCCTAGCATGTCTTACTTGATTCTTCCTGGTTCGCATGTTGTTGACATCTTCATAGATTGTCAGAACTTCTGGGGTTGTCCCTGTTAGAGGAGGGAAGCAAAGAAAAGAGCTGCAGAGATCTCTTGAGGATGTTCCATCCAGGCTTCCACCTCTGGCAGTCCCACCTCCATCCCATATGAATTAGACCTTGAGGAAAGTTCTAGAAAGGAGGCAGGTTACTGTTCTTCCCAGGATACCTGAAAAGCACAGTGGCAGCAACCTCGCCTGACATACCTGTTCTATCAGGCCAGGCAGACTGCAAGCAAATTTGCACATTGGGGAACAGGCTGTAGGCATCCAGCAGCAACCCCAGAGGGCAAGAACAGAAAGAGGGCCCAGCAGCCACTGCCAACCATCCACCAACCATACACACACACATACACCACTCTACGCCCCCAAGGAAAGTATGTACTTGGCGCCCAGGCACATGCCACTGGGGATGTCAAATCAGGCAACCTATCTAGGGACTTGCACTTACGTGACTGCTTCCTCTTCCTCCTCCGCACACAGAGGTAGATGAGGGTGCCCAGGAACAGTGCCACGAGGAGAATCATGACACTCACCAAGATGAACAGGAAGGTGACATCTGAGGGGTATGGAAGACATGAGCCTTGAGTGCAAAGCCCTCTCTCCTCTCCCTTCCCATCTGTCTGCTGCAGAATCTGTTTCAGAACCACACTTCTCTCTCAGGCGGCTGGTCTCCGCCCACCCTGTGAATTCACCATCAAAGTCATCCCCCTGCTCATTTGGGCGACCTCCCTTGAATGATGCTAAGATCATGGGTGTTAGTACCTCACAGACCTGGCTCCATTCTAATTCTATAGCCTCTGTGCTCTTGGATAATGTCCTTAAGCTCTCTGAGCCTGTTTTCTCACTTAGAGAAAGGAGACAATGTTATCTACACATGGAGGTTAATTATGACTTTAATATATGTAAAACACCTAGCACAGCAAATGTTACATCCATTCATGCTTTTGTTTTTAACTCAACAAACATTTGTTGGACACCTACTATGTGCCAGGCAAGTCTTCCACTTCACCTTCTGTTATTCCTGCCTTCACTGCTCTTCTTCATTCAAACTTTAGTATTTGTGTCACAAATGTAGCCTGATACATGACCGAACCAACATGAGGAGAAGGGAAATGAATTCATGTTCCGGGTGCCAGCTGACTAGGCTCTTTACAAACATTACCTTAATCTTAGCAGTACTCCTGTGAGATACTTATTATTATCATCCCTAGTTTACTCAAAAGAAAAACTGAGCTTCAGAGATGTAATGAATCAGCTTGAGATCAGAGAGCTAGTGGATGATGAAGTCATGGCTGGCATGGACAAATCTCCAGTGTCCTTGTCACTCCACATTCCTTCAGCTTGTTTCTTTTTTGGTCACAAGTGTTTAGTTTGCTGCTATATTTGGATAGAAGTTCCTTGAGGATGGGGACAGCAGGTATTTTCCTGTATCCACTATGCTGATACCTATGCTGATGGCACATTAGATATTTGTTTATATAATGAAAAGTGGTGTAAACTTAACTCAGAAAAAAAAAAGATTAAAAAAAATTTAACTCAGGTTAACTCTTAGAATGAGCATAAGCAAAAAAAGAAAAAAAGAAAAAAAAAAAAACAAGAACTCTTCTAAGTATCCCCAAGATGATCCTGATGACCACACGACCAGAGTGCAGTACACAGCATAGTTACCTCTTGGGAAACTATGTGGCTTGTGGGAGTATCCCTCAGGAGGAGGAAGGAGGTCTTCATCAGTCTCTCAGAAAAAGAATGTAATGATCAGCACCCACGTCAGGGCAGTGACTCATCAAACTAAGTATTCCCTAAATGAAGGAGAAACTCACATCTCCCAGAAGGAAGCTCTTTATGGGGATAAAATTCTTTCCCCAACCAAGTGAGCCCTGGTTTTACAGGGACTGTATGCCTAGAGGCCACGGCTTGCCTGGGGAAGGGCTGCAAAGCTCTGTGGGAGTTAGTCAGGGGATTTGCAATGAGCCTGGCTGTGGGGCTCCACACCTGCAGCCCCTCTTACAGCCCACGGTGCTCCACTTACCTTGGTGGTCACTCTGGCAGCCCTGCGTTAGTTGGAGGCTCTGGTTTGCCCAACTGACTGGATTGCTGACATTGCAGGTATATAAGTGCAAGCCATTGACATCAACCCACTGCACCAGTTCTGTGAGGTTCCCAGGTGTCTGTATCAGCTCAGTCCCTCTATACCAAGCATAGCTCACATCACCTCCTCTGGTGACTGAGCAGGACAGAGTCACTCGACAAAAGTCCCCATCCAGGACGTTCCGCTTCTCCACCAGGTGGGGCCTCTCAACATGATCTAGAAGCAGAGATTCTGATCAGAAAGATGCTGGAAATACAAGCCCTGCAAGAGTTAGAGGGGCAAGATGAGCTGTCCTGAAGACTCACCAAATATAGAAACATTGAACTCGTGTGTCCAAACCTTCCCAGAGTGATCGGTGATCTGTAGGATGTAGAGGCCACTGTCCTGTGGCTGAGCTGCCTTGATGAGGAGAGTGACGTCTTTGCTTATAAAATTGAATCTTTGGTAGAAATGATTTAAAGTTGGATTCAAAGTTCCCCTTACTTCAGTCCAGCCAGAATCATTCTTCCAAGACCATGTGAAATAATTACTTGAATCTGAGGATGAAGGCATCTTCCATTTAACAGAGTATATATTTGTTTGTAAGCTGGGGGGGTGTAGCCTGACAGGCTCTCCTGAGATTCCAACCACATGATGAGCAGAACCTAGGAATTACAGGAAAGAGAACCCATGCTGGAGCTGGAAGGAAGGGGATCAAGCCTGAGCAATGTGGGTTGTTGGATGTGACCTCCCTTAAACCAAGAGGATGGAAATGCACATGAAGAGCCCCGAGTCTAAGAAAACCTGAAAGTCTATCTCCCTTATCTGCCTCCCCTACCCCATGCTCTATGCCCTCATCTGAAGAGCCCACAAACCAGTAATAACAGTGAAAATCTCTTGAGTACTTATTATGGTACAGGAAGATCTTAAACATATTTTTAATTTTTCACTTTACAATGACTCAAAAAAGGTCTTATCCCCATTTTAGAGATGAGGAAACTGAGTTAGAAAGAACTTAAAAGTAATTGGACCAAGTTACACAGAGAAAGATGAATCTAAAATCCAGTCAATTTGGCTTTAGAGGACAAATCCTTAACCAGTATGTTTTAAATATCATATATGAAGTCACTGTTTTACTGTAGTGCTGAGGTAAGCAACAGTGGCCAGCAGTGACTACTGGAAATTCTTTTTATCTTTTAATTTTTAGTTAATTGGAAGATAATTGCTTTACAATACTGTGTTGGTTTCTGCCGTGTATCAACATGTATCAGTCACAGGTATACATCTATGAAACTTCCTCGTGAACCTCCCTCCCATCTCCCATCCCGTCTCACCTCTCTCAGTTGTTACGGAGCACCTGGTTTGAGCTCCTTGTGTCATGCAGCAAATTCCCACAATCTATTTTATGTATGGTAACGTATATGTTTTAATGTTATTCTTTCAATTCATCTCCCTCTCCTTCCCCCACTGTGTCTGCAAGTCTGTTCTCTATGTCTGCATCTCCTTTAATGCTCTGCAAATAGGTTCATCAGTTTCATCTTTCTAGATTTCATATACATGTGTTAATATGTGTTTTTCTCTTTCTGACCTACTTAACTCTTTATAATATGCTCTAGGTTCATTAGCATTGACTCAGATGTGTTCTTTTTTATGGCTGAGTAACATTCCATTGTATATATGCACCACAACTTCTTTACCCATTTATCTGTTGATGGACATCTAGGTTGCTCCCATGTCCTAGCTACTGTAAATAGTGCTGCAGTGAATATGTGTACATGTGTCTTTTTCAATTATGGTTTCATATGACCAGACCCAGTAAGGTTAACTCCCCAAGCTGAACTCATGGCTCCCTCATCTGTCCTCCCATAGAACTAGAACTAGATTTATAATCCTTTCTTGTAGCACTTAAAGTGTTCATTTTAGAACTGTGATCATTATTCATTAAGGTTTGCCAGTTTTTTAGTTACCAGAAATTATCCACAGGATTGTTCCATAGAAAACAAATCAAGAGAGAAAAATAAAACTATACTACCAAAGCATATCCTAGTACATCCCTCCCAAAGGACAAAGAAGGGGGCTAATGACCATGGGAGTGTGACATAGAGCGGCTTGTCTTTGCCTATGCTAGAGCACCCCACTGCAATCAACGTAAACAAGTGGAAATTCCTGTGGCCATTTTTGTAGGGGAAGCTATGTAGCATGGCCCGGTGGATGCAGGGACAGATAGATGCCTGTCTGAGTGGGTTGTAAAGGGTCAGGGAGAATCTGGAGGAGAGAACAGAAGATAGAGGTAGTTATACAAACATATTTTTTCAAATGGAGAACATTGAGAATAGAGCAATGGACAGAGATTTCTAGATGTCCACATGCATTATAAATATTCACTCCTAACCATGCATTCACACTGGCATTTTCTCAAGAGACTAAGCAAATAATTAAATGTGTTGAATAAACCTGTAAAGAGAAGAAACTAAAAAAAAAAAAAAAAGACTTATAATTACTATTTGGTGAATATAATATGTTTCTCTGATTTGGCACTCCTAAAAGTAAAACACATGGAGTTCCTATTCATATTCCTGCGACTTGAACTGGCTCTGCTCATTACCAGACCAAAAGCAGAGACTATGCTATACATCTCTGTGACTTTGTCTCTTGAGATCCTGGCACTATCTAAAGATCTTGAGAACAAAGGTGAACAATAAAACAATTACTAAACCTACAAAAAGGACATGCACTGTACTCACCAATTGTGTAGCCTTTACTGAGTCCCTACTGTACCCAGGGCCCTAAAAATGCAGAGCCTCTTCATGAATAAGATGATTCTTGATGCCAGAGAATTTATGATCTGGAAATAGAACATGCTTTCATTCTGCAGCATACACTTCAACATTGAGATAAATAATCATCTAAGCAATTCCAATTCCAATAATGGAAGACCAGGTTAAGACATGCAGTCAATGCTTCCACTGAAAATAGCTAGAAAAATAGGCAAAGTATAAAATAGGTTGTTAACAGCATCAGAGAACTAATAAAGTCATATAAAGTTATAGGTCCAAGATCTATAAGAAGGAAATTCAGAGAAGTGAGACCAGCATTATTGACTCCTGCTTCTTAGAGGCATCTTCTGAGTCCATAAAAAGCAGCTGAAAATCTGAGAAGCTTAAAAAAAGAAAAAAGAAAAGCTGAGAAGCTGAGCAGAGTTTACAGTAAACTCAAGGATCTAAAAGAACATGGAGTTCAGGAACATTTTGATAGGAAGTGGGTACACCTAAAATTCATCATATTTGGGGTTGGTACCACAAAGAGATACATGGTAAAAGTAAGGGTGAATAAGAAATAAGCCAGCTCTTATAGATATTAAATCCCAATTTTGAATAATCTCAACCCTGGATTGGATTAACATTATAAAAAAATCTCCAGTATTTCTAATCTAGCTGCCTATATTAGAGACAAATATAAATTATTCCTGTAGAAAAATAACAAAATCCAGCACATTAAATATTTCTAAAATTTTTCATACAACAATGTCCAAAATGAAATTAAAAATAAACAGACATAAGAAGAAACATGTCCATAAACCAAAAGAACTAGGCCCAAGGGACATTTAGATAATAATGTTATCAATCATAAGCTTTAAAGTAATTTTATTTAACATGTTTAAGGAAATAAAACATGCTTTAGAATTATAGCAAAGAACACGTGTGATAGAAAGCAAAAGTGGCCATGCTGTCTGCAATGTGACTTTGTAGCTCCTTCCATCATCAAGAGATAGAGTTCAATTTCCCATCTCTTGTAACCAGACTGGCCTTCTGAAGGGAATGCAGCAAAAATTAGTTTCTGTTAGTTCTAAGCCTAGATCTGCAGAGGCATTGCACATGCCTTTTGGAATGTGCCTTTATATGTTCTCTTGAAACCTGTCTAGCTGACGTGTAAACAAGACTCAGATAGCCTTCTGGAGGGTGAGAGCTCACATGGGGCAAGCTAAGGCCATCGTAGATCAGCCATCCCCAGCCAATCTGGCAGCTGACCATGTTTGCATAAATGATGCAAGCTGAAATGAAAAGAATAACTCAGTTGACCCCTGCCCAAATTGCCAACTAGTGGAATCATTGACTAAATACTTGGTGGTTGTTTTAAACTACTAAGATTGGAGGTGCTTCGTTGTGCAGCAATAATTACCTGAAAAAATGAAATTTTTTAGGTTCTGTTAGTTCTAAGCCTAGATCTGAGAGCCAAATGAAGATGAGCCAACTCATTAGAAAAGACCCTGATGCTAGGAAATATTGAAGACAGGAGGAGAAGGGGATGCCAGAGGACAAGATGGTTGGATGGCATCACTGACTCAATGGACATGAGTCTGAGCAAGCTCTGGGAGATGGTGAAGGACAGGGAAGCCTGGCATGCTGCAGTCCATGGGGTTACAAAGAGTTGGACATGACTGAGTGACTGAACAATGGCAAAAATGAAAATTGTAGAAATAAAACATAAAATAACTGAAAAATTAACTCAATTGAGAACTTTTCTGATTACAACACTATGAAACTGTTTGAAACTGTTGAAACTGTATGAAAACTGTTTCTTTTTTCACAGAAGGAAAAATGAGAAAAGAACAAACATATGGAGACTAAACAACGTGCTCCTAAAAAGCCAATGAGTCAGCAATGAAATAAAAAAGAAATCAGAAAAGGTCTGTAGATAAATGAACGTGAAAACACAGTCTTAGACTATGTTTTATAACATAGATTATAACAAAGTTTATAACCTCATGAGATTACCTTATGAGTTATCAAAGACAATGATATCATAACCTTATCAGTTAGCAAACATAATCATATGAGATGCAGCAAAAGTAGTTCTAAGAGGGAGGTTCATAGCAATATAGGCCCAGCTCAAAAAATAAGAAAAATCTCAAACAAGCTACCTGTAGCCTGAAAGAATTAGAAAAAGAAGAACAAACAAAACCCAAAGCCAGAATAAGGAAGAAAATAATGAAGATCAGAGAGAAAATAGAGATCAAAAAACAACAGACAAGATCAATAAGTCCAAGAGTTAATTTTCTGAAAGGTGAACAAAATCAACAAACCTCTAGCCAGCCTCACCAAGAGAAAAGAGAGAGGACCCAAATAAACAAAATAAGAAATGTAAGAGTTGACATTTTAACCACTGAAGACACACACACACACACAAAACATTTTTTAAAAACTGAGAATACAATGAATAGTTATATGCAAGCAAGTTGGACAACCTGGAAGAAATTAGCAAGTTTCTAGAAACATATAGCCAGTTAAAACTGAGTCAAGAAGAAACAGACCATTTAAACAGACTGATCACTGCAAGTGAAATAGAATCTGTAATTTAACAAAACTCCCTGCAAACAAAAATCCAAGACTGGACAGCTTTACTAAGGAATTCTACCAAACATACCAGAAAGAACTTATACCTATCCTTTTCAAACTATTCCAAAAAATTTAAGAGGAGGAAACACTCCCAAATTTATTCTACAAAGCCACTATATTCCTGATACCAAAACCAGACAAAGACACAACAAAAGAAAATTACAGGCCAATATCTTTAATGAATATAGATGCAAAAATCCTTAATAAAATATTAGCAAACTGAATCCAACATTATATAAAAAGGGATCATACACTATGACCAAGTTGCT